GTACCCCATCCGCCCCGCCCTGTGATGGTGGGAGGGGGTGTACCCCATCCGCCCCGCCCTGTGATGGTGGGAGGGGGTATACCCCATCTACGCCGCTCTGTGATGGTGGGAGGGGGTGTACCCCATCCGCCCCGCCCTGTGATGGTGGGAGGGGGTATACCCCATGTACGCCGCCCTGTGATGGTGGGAGGGGGTGTACCCCATCCACGCCGCCCTGTGGTGGTGGGAGGGGGCGTACCCCATCTAGAGGGGGCGTACCCCATCCACACCGCCCTGTGATGGTGGGAGGGGGCGTACCCCATCCGCACTGCCTGGCCCGAGTCTGCTGAGGGTTTTTCTGACTCCCTGCCCTGCGTTGTGGGCACGCGTTGGCCGTGTCCTCTGAGAGCCCTCCCTTCTCCCTGGCAGTGCCCCGAGGTGCGGCTCAACATCATCTCCAACCTGGACTGCGTCAACGAGGTCATCGGCATCCGGCAGCTGTCGCAGTCCCTGCTGCCCGCCATCGTGGAGCTGGCTGAAGACGCCAAGTGGCGGGTGCGGCTGGCCATCATCGAGTACATGCCCCTGCTGGCTGGACAGCTGGTGAGCGAGGGCTGGGCCGGGGCAGCGCAGGCGGCGGGCTGCTGCCCGTCAGGGCTCGGGGGCCCAGGCTCAGTCACGGTGCGGGGCCGCGGGGCCAGTCAGAGGGCTCGGTGACCACCACATCTCCTGGGGGAGGGACTGAGCACTTCCCGTAAACGGAGAGGCTGCTGCTGGTTGAGTGTTCGGAGGTGGGCAGGGGTCTCCCTTGGTGTCGCTGTGGGCTCCCTGCCTGTCCCATGACCCTCCTCTCCTCCTGCAGGGTGTGGAGTTCTTCGATGAGAAGCTCAACTCCTTGTGCATGGCCTGGCTGGTGGATCATGGTGAGTGGACGGCTGATCGTGGTCAGGGGGCTGGAGAGGAAGGACAGAGACCGGCCTCTGGGAAGGGTGGACTGACTGGCCTGGGGCAGGGAGGGGAGGGAAAGGCCACTGAGGGAAGGACGTAGACTGGCCTCCAGGAAGGATGGACTCACAGACAGGCCGAGGTCGGGGAGGGGGAAGGTCACTGAAGAAAGAAGGACAGAGACCGGCCTCCGGGTGGAGTGACAGGCCGAGGTCGTGGAGGGGAGAGGCCGCCGAAGCGGTTTCTCCGTCCCGGGGTGTGCACTCGGGCAAGCTGCTAGCCTCGTGGAGTCTGGCCGGGGCGGAGACGGCTGTTAGCGCGTCAGCCAGGGCCTGGCTGGTGGAGGGAAGAGTCCGAGGTCCCCCTGAACAGACGGGCCTGGCGCACACGGTCCCGGCTCTGGGCTCCGTGAGCCCGAGTGGTCACGTCCCCCTGCAGCCCCCCTCCCTGCCACCCAGGCCCCAGGGCCGCTGTGGGCACAGCTCCTCGGTGAGGGCTGGAAGGACCCGGCACGTTTATGTGTTCTGAGGACTGAGGGCAGGCCCGCCTCGCTTGACCGCGCGTCACAGACACTCGCGTTTGTGGCCGCCCTGTCCCCAGGAAGTCTGTTGGCTAATTTTACCAAAAGCACGAGCTCGCTGGTGTCTTTGCCCCGTTTTGTAATGCTCGGGAAGCCTGACCTTGTCTTCGGCCTGGTGGGTGTCGGTAGAGACCGGTTTACGCCTGCGGCAGGTCCCCTGGGGGCACTCACTGCATGGTGGCTGGGACCGAACCCGCGGTCTCTCCGTCTACCAGTGAGGATCACACCGGGGCACAGCCCTTCCCGGAGCCCCCGCTGCACGAGCAGGAACCCTCCTCATACGGGTCGCAGTGCAGCTCGAGGAAGGCACTCGGGCCTAGTCCCTGCGGTTGCTTGGCCAGTGTGGAGGGACTGGCACCCCAGCCCTGTGAGCTCACTGCCCCGCTCACCAGCCCCTCTCCCGCAGTCTATGCCATCCGCGAGGCGGCCACCAGCAACCTGAAGAAGCTGGTGGAGAAGTTTGGGAAGGAGTGGGCTCACGCCACCATCATCCCCAAGGTCTTGGCCATGTCGGGGGACCCCAACTACCTGCACCGCATGACCACACTCTTCTGCATCAACGTGAGCTCTCCCCCTGGGTGCGGGGCCTGGGCGTCCCTGGGAGAGGAGGGACGTGGGGACACGGTGGGTGAGTCATGGGGTCGCTAACTGCCCATGGGAGGCTTCATTGTCCAGTGGTGCTGACACAGGGACGCCACGGCTGGACCCTCTAACAGATGGGAGTGGAGTCCTTGACAGTCTGGGAGCTCGAGGCCTGAACTCAGGGTCCAGCTCTAGGGGACAGCCTTCTCTGTCAGCTCCTGGGGGGGCCCGTGTCACGTCAGTGTCTGCGGGCCCAGCCCCCATCACAAACCATTGTGCCTGGATATCCGTTCACCAGGCAGGGACCCCAGGCCGAAGGACATTCTGGGCTCCAGTAGTTGGTGGCCATTGGTCCCTCTCTTAGCTGGCTTCTCTCCCCTTGAGTTTCTGTAAAAGATAATGCAGGCCACTCCCCCAAGGCTCACCCTTAAGTTGGCTCAGGTTGGTCATGGCAGGTGGGACCACTGGTCATTTTAGCTCTATGTCCCGCCACGTTACGTAGTTACGTAAATGCAAAACCACCGAGAATTCTGGCCCGTCCAAGTTAACGTGTATTCAGTCACACAGAGGCGAGGTCACGGGGCCTCTGGGACAGGGACTCGGGTGGTGTGACACCCCCGCTGGGGACACGGGACCTGGCCGACGGTGACCTGCAGACTTTGCTGAGGCCACAGCGTGGTGCATGTTTACCTGTCAGACGGGTTCGTGTGCTGGTACTGGAGGCGGAGCGGTCCTTAGATCCCGCTCTGCCGTGTGTCCACCGGGAGCTGTGGTGCCGATGCCTGGCTCCTCCGACGGTGGGGGCCCGTCCGGGGGTGTCATGGTTCCACAGGCCTGGTGTTTTGAGCAGTCCTCTCTTTATCAGACTGAAGATCCTTTCCTGGGGCGCTATTCCCCAAGAGGAAGGGGATTCCGAGGACAGCAGGGCGGGGCTGGAGACCTCAGGGAAGGGCCGTGGGGAGGGGGGTGGCTGTATGAGGATTAATTCTCCCAGGTTGGGGCAGCAGGCTGGGTGTCCCCCATAACGCTCGGTTCACAGCTGGGAGCCGTGATCCCTGAGGGACCCGGTCAGGGTGAGGGGTACCAGGGCGTTAGGCTTGAGTTTGAGGTGATCCGCTCTGTGAACCCCGGCCCCCAGGTGCTGTCTGAGGTCTGTGGCCAGGACATCACCACCAAGCACATGCTGCCCACTGTCCTGCGGATGGCTGGGGACCCCGTCGCAAACGTCCGCTTCAATGTGGCCAAGTCCCTGCAGAAGATAGGGCCCATCCTGGACAACAGGTGAGCAGTGGTCCCCGCCTCAGCCAGCCCTCGTCCTGGCCTGTCCACTGCTGTAGTCTGTGTCCACCCCGGCTCTTCACTGTGCCGTGGCCTCGCCGGCCGTTTCCCGCCGTCTCGTTTCCTCAGCTGTAGGGTGAGAGGTCACACGGCTGACCTCACAGGACGGGGTGCAGGGGAAGGGTAGCAGCACACAGAGGGGCCCCTGCTCTTCCTTCCTTGGGGTGGCTGGTGGATTCGAACCGTGTGTGCCTTTGGGTGGAAGTCTAGTTCTTACCACTCCGACTCCTGGACCTGCAGGGCAGAGGGCAGTTCCCGTGTTTCCCAGGCTGTCAGTCCACAGGACGGACTGAACCGGCTCCCCTCGGGGCCAGCACCGGGAAATAGGTGTCACAGGGTCTGTTTGCGTGCCTCGGGCTCCTTTGGCTTTTGGGTGCCTGCTGTGCTCCAGAGACCCCGTCCTGTCTGTGGGGCGTCTGAGTCCTAAGGACCATACTGTACTGCCTCTTAGGCACACAGACTTCTAGTTCACAGACGTCATCTGTCCTGGACCACACTGTGCAGTGTGTCTGGGGGCCCTGACGTGTCTGTGTGTCTGGGGGCCCTGACGTGTCTGTCCTAGACCACGCTGTGCAATGTGTCTGGGAGCCTTGACGTGTGTGTAGTATGTCTAGGGGCCCTGTTGTGTCTGTGTGTCTGGGGGCCCTGACGTGTCTGTCCTAGACCACGCTGTGCAGTGTCTGTCTGTTCGTCCTGAACCATGCTGTGTGGTATGTCCAGGTCTCTGCTCCAGGCCCTGACTGGCCATGTTACCCCCCTCTGCCTGGCTCACCCTTGCCCTTTGCCCTCCAGCACGCTGCAGAGTGAGGTCAAGCCCATCCTGGAGAAGCTGACCCAGGACCAGGACGTGGACGTCAAGTACTTTGCGCAGGAGGCTCTGACCGGTGAGGCGTGAAGCCTGGGGGGTCTGGGGGTAAGGGCTGCGGGACAGGGACAGGCTCTAGGCTGGGACAGCTGAGGACAGTGCCTCCTGACCACCACCCATCTCTCTCCCCAGTCCTGTCTCTGGCCTGAAGCTGGACAAAGAGCCAACGCTGACCGTGGGGTCCACCGCGCCCCTCCTCGGGAAGGCAGTCGGGGGCCCTGGCTGTCGCTCCCCGTGCATGGTCCGAGCCCAGGTCCTTCCCCAGCCCGCCCCGCCCTCCCCAGCCTGGGATGACGTCTTGCTGTCCACCTCCCTGGGGCTGGGGCAGCACGAGGAGGGACATGCTGTGACCCTGAAAGACAGGCCCGCCAGCCGGGGAGACACGGGCACGCGGGTCCCCGGCTCCCGGCACCGGGCCTCCACCACCGGCCTCCCCGCCTCCCTCTCCCCGCCCAGTGGTTTACTGTGTCAACTGTGCCGTTTTTATTTTATTCTCCTCCTTTAGTTTCCCCCCTTTTCACAGAGAAATAAACGTCTACAAACAGTGGCCGTCTGGTCTTCCTCATCACGGCTCAGGCCCGGTGTGTGTCCTCCCTGCGAGGTTCTGATCGGCTGGTACTGGCCGCCCACCTCGGTGTCCCCACTGCATTGAGCCCGTCGTTGTAGGGACGGTGTCGAGCCCCGTTTGAGGGTCTTCCTTTCTCAGTTGTCCGCTGCTTTCCTCAGTGGTGGTGTACGGGGCTTGACCCCTAGAAGCCTGTCCCGAGGAAGGAGACACCCCAGCCTCACTTCACAGCGTTCGGCTCCGCGTCCTCCACGCAGCCTGGTGCTTTCTGTGCCGGCCAGTCAGCGCCAACTCCTGTGCCCGCGGCCGCGTTTCCGAGGCTGTGGGCCTTAGAGAGGGGAGAGCTTGCGTCCCCGCCTGTTCAGACCCCCAGGTGGTTCCTCCCGCTAGGATGACAGCCGTGGGAACCCGCCGTGAGAATCGACCCGGCCGCAGAGGGTGGCCGTCACCAGGGTCTGGGCCTGACCGCTGGGAGGTGGACATCGCACGTGCCCCCGCTCGCCTGCCTCCTCGACACGCTGCTCCTCTGAGGGCTCCGTAGTGACTGCGTCGGCCGTGCAGATCTCGGTCCTTGTCGTTAACATCGTTCTTGGGGAAGGTCCAGACACAGCTCGGGGTCCTGCCCCGTCGGGCGGCTGCCCCGCAGGTGGCCGGCCTCTGACCCAGGCCTCCCTGGCCTGTGCCCGCAGTCCCCCTCGGGAGACAGGCAGGCTCCTGTCCGCCCTGCTCGGGTGGGCGCGCCAGAGCTCAGCACCTCCCCAGGGAACGCCCGGAGCCACCCTGCTCACCAGCACGTGCCTCCCCACAGGAGGCTCCTCGCCTGCACCACTCCACGGCTCTGCTTTCTGTCGCTTCTCCAGTGACACGGCTCCTCCAAGGAGCTGTCAGGACTCTCCAAGTGCCAGGGACACACGCCACTCTCGTCTCTCCCTTCTGGCATTATCGGGGTCCCTCCCTGTGCTTTTAAGTCTAGCAGGATAGCAGAACTGGCCAGTTCCCTTGTTAGGGTGCCCTGCACCCGTATTTGCATTTGTGTCAGGATGTCCAGTCAGCTCAGTGACCCACAAAGTCCCATCCAGTCGTGTGGGAGCCACAGGGCCCGTGGCTTGTTGCTGGGTGCCGTCGAGTGGCCTGCAGGTCTGTGCAGGACAGAACCACGGCCCAGTCCTGTGCCGTCCTCGCCAGCAGGGCCGAGTGTTGTCATCCGCTGCAGCGCGGTGTGCCGGGCGCCTGCTGCTGCACCACTCCCCACACCAGGCTCAGCCCCCGCCTCGGGGTCGACCCCAGCTGACCACGGCCTCCCGTTCGGTGTTGCCTGTCTTCCCCCTGCCGAGCCGCCGATGGAGTCCAGTCCCTGACACTGAGCAGTGCGCCGTGTGACACGGTGCCACCCGAGATGCCGCGCGACTTCAGGCAGGAATGGTCCCCTTTGCCACCATTCCAGAGGGGCACAGCCCTGCCCCACATGTTGTCCTCCGAGGCTGGACCTCGGAAGCCGCTTCCTCACTCGCGTGCTGGTGACTCAGGTGCCCAGTGAGGATGGGAGGGTTTGTAGGGTCCACCATGACCAAGTGGACTCAGGCCCACATCTTTCCTGCAGGCCC